ACAGTACCATTGATGTTGAACCTGTGCAGGAGAGTGAAATGAGGTCTGACTTAAAGATATCTCAGACACGCCTCTTTGATCCCGCTCAGCTGCATTTTCTCTCAACAGAAACTTACACCCTCACAGCTGAGGAACGCAAAATAGAAATGAGGATGTTTTATATTTGTATACGTAAACCGAAACATCAACTTTCACATAGAAGAGAAAAAAGAAGGATAAAGTTAACTTCCTGTTTCATGGCGATATGATGAAGTTTTGACGCCAAGCCACGGGCACGCCGTTTAACGCACAGTAACAAAGAGCACATCTTTTAATCGTGATGGTCTTTAGGAGGCACTGAATACTTTTAAAGTGGATCCGAGCAATAACCTAGGAGGAGTTTGCTATGTATAAAATCTGCCAAAATTTCAACTAAATTCAAAATGGCAGTCTTCCTGTTGGGTTTGGGGTTCGGGTCCAAGAGACTTTTTTGTTTGTCCGGTCATAATACACAGGTGTACCAATTTTCATATATGTCCGTCATACGTGTTCTGGGGGCAGATTTTTATATATCTGATTGTATATGAAGTATATAAACATTATATACTTTATATACAGCATGCATAGATTGTTAGTGGTGATATTTATGTTTTTTTTTTTTAAAAAGAACTGAGTGTAAACAATAAAAATCACACTCCCTATTGGGCTTATTTATTCAAAAAAAATTAATTTATTACTCATTACTCTTCTAAAAAGTAATGTTATTACTTTGATTATTACTCCCTGCCAACAGTAATTAGTTTTAAGTACAAATACTTTGTTATATTAACTGTTTTTTCAGGTATCTGTTCATTTTTTGAGAACTTTTTACTTTTACCGTGTTACAATTCACACAAATATCTGTACTTTATACTCCTTACAGCCTCTTTACAGCACTTTTAAAACATTTGAGGGGGATTATTGATTATTATTTATTTGTATTAATGGCTGACGGCAGCTGGAAACCCGATAAAGACGATGATGTTGTATTGAAATCGTTCTTAAACCTGCTGTTATCTTTTAGTTCCTCGTTTGTTGCGTCATTCAGCTCCACTAAGCTGTGTGTTGCTGTGCCTGGTACAGAAGGAGGAGGAGGAGGAGGATTAAAATGAAGGAGGCACAGAGGAGTGGAAGGGTTTGTTTGTTTATTACAACTCAGACTGAAGCCAAGAGGAGAAATTTATATGATAAGAAGACTTTTTCAGTTCTGCTTCAGCTTGTTTTTAAGCTGAACGAGTTTCAACACTCAGCTGTTCTCTGGGTTTCATATCCACAGCATTGGTGTTGACTTCCATGGGTTCATTTAAAGTCATATTACAGTGAACTTATGTGTTTAAAGATCGAAGGGGAAGTTTTCAGTGTTTCTAACAACCGTTCAGACGTCGACGTGTCTCCATCCCGACTCCAGTTCTGCCTCAAACTTCCTCTTGTTAGTGGTGAAGGTGGTAATTTAGTCGACCCGTCTGGTATAATCAGTGCAGAGCTTTGGCCTCACAGATGTCTCGTGTCCAGAGAAGATTTATGACCCTTCAGCTTCACATAAACAAACACAAACACGTAGACGATCTGCGTCGATCGTGGGCGCTGAATGTGTTACATGTCCCAGCCAAGCAGCTTCAGCGGACCCGGTGAACAGCACGTCCAGACCGGGACCGAATGCAGCATCTGATGTAGTTTGAAAACGGGGAATAAATTACCGAGGTAGCTGCACGAGCTAACTAACTAACTAACTAACTAACGGTGTCTAACATTACTGTTAGTGACAGTTGGCTTCTTTTAGCAACAAGTCCATCAGGAAACTCCCATAAATCACCTCGGTACCGCTATTAGGATATTATCGGTTGAAAACACTTACGTCAGGATGTGTTTGTACACACATTGTTAAACAGGTTGAATATAACGGAGGATGTGATCTTAAAGGGTTAAAATGACATTTTTCTTT